ACCCTACAAGTCTTTTTGGCGGCCATAAGTTTGAATTGGCCATAAAGTTTTAAAAATCGTAAAAGGGGTGAGATGAAAAAACTGCAACCAACTTCAGACTGCTGTCATTTTTAAGCCACTCGTCCGACAGCTGTTAAAATTATTCCAGTGACAGCTCTTTATATTGTTTACAAGCGTACGAAAGCATTTTGGTGAACATTTTCCAGAAAAAAAGTTATTTGTGACAGAATTCAAGCGTGATATTGTGATTTCTTAATTTTTGGCTGGGAAACCACAAGTGGCTATCGTTCGAGCACTCCAGCATTTAAATGTGAATAAATCTTTCGTGTCTCGTACCATCGCTCGTTACCGTGATACTGGTAGCGAAGTGGACGGAAGAAAACAGCAACATCAGCAGAAATGGTTCGAAAAGTAAATAAGCGACTTTATCTAAACCCGCGTTGCAGTGGCCGAAAAATGGCTCATGAGCTGAACATATCGCAATATTCCATTCACAATATTGAAAAATTAGCTCGGGGTAAGGCCATTGAAATTGGAAAACGTGCAAGAACTTACAGCGCAACAGAAAGAAAATAGACTCAAAAGAGCTAAAGAGTTGCTTCGCTTGGCCGAAAGTGGTGAACTGCCGAATTTGATTTTCTCCGATGAGAAAACGTTCGTTGTCCAGCAGTTTATAAACAAACAAAATGATCGTGTTTACATGTCAAAGAGGTCAGATGAAAGTGTGCACCTTCGGTTGGCCACCAGAACTTAAGCGCCGGCTATGGTGATGGTGTGGGCCGCCATAACAGCCGATGGTCGCTCTCCGCTCGTATTAATCGACCGTGGCATCAGAAAGAATGCCAAATATTATCGCGAAAATATTCTGGAGGGTGTATTAAAGCCTTGGGCACGCAAACTTTTTGGCCGCAGACCTTGGACATTCCAATAGAATTCAGCACCATCGCACTCAGCACGCGCCACACAAGAATGGTTACAAAATTAGGTTCTTTGCTCCATTTCCAGCGCACAATGGCCACCAAAATCTTCGGATACCAATCCGTTGGACTACTGTGTCTGAAGTATTTTGGAAATCAAGGTTGGCACTGAAAATATACCAAAGTGTCGAGCACCTCAAGCAAGCGTTTCGTCGGGGATGGGCTAAAATACCACAGAGCAACATTCGGGCAGCGTGTGACGGTTTCATTGGCCGTTAGAAGACCATAATTCGCTCCAAAGGTGACAAATTCTCACAAATCTAAACTTATTCTAAGATTAGATGCTATTTCCGACATTTTTGCTTTCATTCAATAAAAGTTAGAAAAAGTAAAAATTATGGCGTTTGACTTTGTTGCAATTTTATACCCTCCACCTTAGTATGGACGGTATATTAAGTTTGTCATTCCGTTTGTAACACCTCGAAACATACATTTTAGACCCCACAAAGTATATGTATTCTTGATCAGCATAAAATTATATGTCGATTTATCAATGTCCGTCCGTCTGTGGAAATCACTCTAGCTTCCGAACGAAATAAAGTAGGTTGATAAAATTTTACACAAATTTGTATTATGTCTGCAGGACTTTTGGTATTGAAAATGGGCTATGTAGATCCTCGTCTTCGTATAGCCCCCATAACGATTTTAGCGACATTATTTACCCCGATATTCGGTATTTTGAAGATTTTAGCGACATTATTTACCGGAATTGTTTCAATTTTAGTATTTGAAGTTCGTGATGGATACTACAACCTAGGACAGAAAATGAGCCATGTAGGTCCACGTCTTCGTATAGCCGCCATATAGTAGTACCCCCCGATAGTCGGTATTTTGATGATTTCAGCGACATTATTTACCGGAATTGTTTCAAATTTCGCATTTGAAGTTCGTAATAGATACTACAGCCTATGACAGAAAATTGTCTGTACAGGTCCACGTCTTCGCATAGCACCCATATAAAGGAACCCACAATATTCGGTATTTTGATGATTTTAGCGACATTATTTACCGGAATTGTTTCAAATTTTATATTTGAAGTTCGTAATGGATACTACAGCCTATGACAGAAAATTGTCTGCGCAGGTCCACGTTTTATAACTCCCATAGTACCTCCTTATATTCGGTATTTTTATGATTTTAGCTACATTATAAACAGATTTTTTTCAAGTTTCGCATTTGAATATTGTAATCCACGTCGTCGTATAGACCTTAATATACGGCTGCATTCGGTATTTTTAAGATTTTAACAGAATTTTTAACGGATTTTATTTCTTTGAAAATTGTTAAATTTGTACCAAATGGTGGAGGGCATTCAAAGTTCGGCCCGGCAGAACTTACAGCTTTTTCATTTGTTTTTACAGTTGAAATATAGGTTTTTCCTCTTTGGTGACATATAGTAAAATTTTATGAATATTATTTTTGTCTTCGAATTCATCCTTCTAAAATCATGCCGTTGGATATTTTTACACAAACTCCCACAAAGTACGGCTTTAACACTAAAATGTATTTTTAATGAATATGAAGATTTCGACCCTTGAAGTCTTCCAGGATCTTTTTTTGTAGGATATTTAGACTTGGTAAGATCCCGTTTGAATGGAGTTCAAATCATATTTATATAAAAGGAAAGGACAAAAAATATACCTTTTTTTATCTGTAATACAGCCTAAAATCAACGGATTGCAAGGAATCTTAATCCGAAAAGGACAACAAATGTGGAAGAGGGAGGAATTTACGCCCTCTATTTATATAAACTTTCGAAACGCCGATATACGTGTCTTTTTTTGTGTAAGCTTTACATTCGTACTAGATTTATCTGTAATTATTATACACCGTATTATCCTAGACACAATGCTTAATATTTATCCACATTTTCAAAGCTCTTCAAGAAATATCTACTCTATGGGGTCTCCGAATATGTCCAGGTTTTGCGAACAGAATTACATATATAATACAGTCTCCTTGTAATGGTTATTTACGGGTTGTGTTCTTTATTATAGACATAATGGAGATTACCACATATGTTATTAATATTATTATTAATATTGTTTCTAATTATACCCTACAACACTATGTGTTGGGGGTATTATAAGTTTGATTGGGCCAAGAATTATGTAACACCTCGAAATATTGATTTCCCACATAGGAGAGTATATATGGGGCTTCCTAGCTCGCCGAGCTGAGTCGATCTAGCTATGTATGTCCGTCCGTCCGTCTGTCCTTGTTAATTTGTAATCACTCTACAGGTCGCAATTATTGACCAATCAAAGCGGAAGTTAGCATGAGGCTAGAGCTTAGGGCTGGGCAGAAGCCTTCCAATTTTGATGGTCATCGGGTAATATTTAGTGGTTGAAATAGAACACAGAATTTGTGATAAATAAAAGTCAAATTTTCCATTTAACCGCGAATATTTTTAATCCCGGCGAAATCACAAATAGACGAACAGGTCGATTCTGACAGTTACGTAGATGCCGATAGTAAATATATCGGTTATATATAGCGAAATATGTACAATGTGTATATACAAAGGAAGGGGATGTTAGTTAGAATGCTTATATCTCAAGAAATTCTGGACCAATTTTGACAAATTTTGTCAATTCAGAATGCCCTCTTAACATAAAAGTATAAAATCTAAAAAATCGCCGAAAAATATGCCAATAATGATGTTAATATAGATTTTGCAGTATTTTGTGACATATTTTTTATCGCATGCGATTTTTTCATTTTGACTTATAATATTCACCTTACAATATAGGTTGGGGATATTATATAAGTATTGCAAATATCGTCCGATCATCACGAAAATTTTAACAAGAGTAGGGTTGGGCTCAGAAGTGCTAGGCCTATTATTTTCTAAGATGTCCGCAATATATAAGGGGGTTGAAATGGACCAACAACTAAAATTTTTCTTGATTTTGCAGCCGTTATAAAGGTCACAAATAGAAACCAAAGGAAGCGAAATCTCGCATAAAGTTAGAGTTAAGGACAGCGGGTACAATGGACCGCTAATTTTGTGTGAAAAAAATACCAGCATTACTTACAGGCGATATCCGAAATACACAAAAGGCGAACTTCTGGCTTTTTTATGTTGATTTCGTTGACGAATATTGCCAAATATCGTAGACAAGCAAATCATATAGATGAGTCTAAATTTGGAGATACAGAGGGGCTTCTTGCTTTTGGAGGTGATTGCAAAATATTTAGGGGTTCAAATTAACCAAAAACAGAAATGTTTTTCCGATCACACAATTGAAGCCAATCAACACGCCTGTGAAGAGAGTTAAGGCCAGGGAAGAATTCTAGCATTTTGGATGACCATTGGATAATATTTAGATGTAAAATGTACTACAACAACTAACAGCCCGACGGAGTGCGTAAGTATTGGGCAAATGTCCCTAGTCAAAATCCTAATTTCAAAAGCGAAATCTTCCAATATGGATTTGGACATAAGGGCGCTTCTAACATATTGTCGTGTTGTAGAGTATAACATAGTCGGCCCTGCAAGACTATAGCCTTTGCTTACTTGTTAATATTGTTTCTGATTTATTTTTATTTTAACTTTTATTTAATTTTATTTAATTAGTCCATAGCAACATTTCTTTGAGCACTGTCGGCTTTCATATGTCTTTATCATTGCAAAACTATTTTTGTTTATTTAACTTAAAAATTATCACACCATGGTACTTCTAAGTAAAGAAGAAAAAAAATACGTCGAACTATTTCAACGTATGGGTTATTGAACAAATAGGAAAAGGTGTGAGTTCAATAAAATAGATGACTTTAAACCGTAAACACAATAAAAGGACAATAGATAGTAGATCTGTAAAATTCAGCACATAGCGGTCGTTGTTGACTTTTACTTCAAAAAGCCGGGGTTTAACATTTATGACTTTATAACACCAACAGCCAACCATCCAGCCAGGCAAACAAACAAACCAAGAAATTCCCTCAGATTAAGATAGTGAGTGGTGGCATGGGTTCACTTTAGGCTTGGTGAATCAAAAGAGAGAGAATGAACCCATTTTTGTTTCGCTAAAGAAGGGAGAGTATGAGAGAGAGTGTGCTGAACAACAATGTGACCAAACAATTTCAAAGGGAAACAAAATTCCCAATTAGAGTTAAAATGCGGCATAACAGTTAAAAGAGGGTTCATCATACAATGAACCCCCAACATACTAGAGTGCGCGCACACACACTCACTCACACAGATAAAGAAAAACGTAAACAAACCACACACGCACACACACTCATACAAAGAGACTGACAACTGGCCGGTAGACAACAATGGAAAAGTATCTGAAAGATACTTCACTGACGATGAACACGAACCGCACCACTATACGACCATCATCGGTGTATTGTTTAGTTTGAACTGTTTAGTTATTGACGAGAACTTGAGCCGGTTGGTTGTCAAGCCATTTAACGAATGAAGTAGAAGCCGTTGCTACACAACCCAAAATAAAAATAAAAGAATTATTTTCTTTTGAGTTGAAAAATTATTTACATATTTTGTTGTTATTGTGAGTGCGCTGTTGTGTTTTGTTTTTTTTTGTTTTGTAAACAAAGAAAAGATAAATTAAATGTCGAATTGTGCAAAATTGCAATTTTGTTGCGTAAAGAGGCAAATATTCTGCGGAATAATCCAGGTGTAACAATAATAAGTGAAAAACGTGTTGCGAAGTAACCGCGTTAATGGTGAAATAAAAAAAAAAAGTGGTGGTTAAATTGAATTCTGGAACCACTGAAAACCCAAGATTGAAATTAATGTTTGTCTCGCTATTGGGGTTGATGGTTAGATCAAGGTGATAAAGCAAAAACAAAAACCAACGTGGTCTAACTGTTCCGAGACAAAAATTAAGGTAAATTTCAAAATACTGCCCTAATTGTCATTTGTTGGAAATTTGGATATTATTCGGCCAACCATGTGACTGACACTTTGGATAATTCAACAATTGAAATGCGTGTTGTTTTCGAAACCCCACAACAACAGCTAAATGAAGTAAACAAATAAAACCACATTAATTGAAGTAGAGTTTGTGGTCGAAATTAAAACCCCATTTAATTACTTCTTTAGAATTCTGATGTGCGAGCGATGTGAACCAAAATCTGTGTAAAAAATGTTAAGAATAATTAAGAGAAATTTAACAACGATGTAAAGTGAGGCTTTTTAAAAGTGTAATAAAAGTGAGATTTAATTACAAACAAAACAAAAAAAAGAAGATGAATATAAATTAAAATGTACCAAATGTTATGACAAACCTTTACAGTTGGAAACAAAATTTTGAAAAATAAATTAACAAAAAATAAATACTTATGTAAAATATGAGTATTTTTTAAACGAAATATAAATTTCGAGGAAAAAAAATAAAAAAAAACAAATCCAACTAAAAATTTAAAAAATAAAACTACTTCAAAAATTACATGGATTTTAAATATGATTAATTCTTAAAACACTAAAATCGAAAATATTATTAAAAATGAATAATAAAAAGAATAAAATGCAAAAGTCGATTCAGCACTGTTGGAATTAAAAATTAATTAAAAAAATTATATACCACTCAATATCTGTTAGGCATGGATTGCTAGACCATATCATACTCTCTAGTAGGATTCGCCGTAAATCTATTTGGGTTTGGGATTCGCCGTAAATCTATTTTACCACAGTCGATGCCTGTGAAACTTCCGTTGCTCCGAATGACCATAAATTACATCATATCTATTTTCCGAAACGAGCTTGAGACACAGACCACGATATCGACTACAGATGTAAATTTTGTCACATATTTCTAGGAAAAATCGGTAAAGAAAGGTCTAAAGTCGGACGGACCGACTATATGACAACCTACACCACAATGCTTATTTAGTAGGGCTACTCGTTACAAATAAACGTTTTTATTAGGAATTTACGAGAAGTTGATCATACCAACTATGAACCTTAGCTGAATACGTCATGGTTTTAGAGTAATGACAATTTGGGAACTATATCAAACTCCGAATCGATTTTCAACAAATTTGACGGAGGCTTTTGTAGATCTAGTATCAAATAACATTGATGTATAGTGCATGATATGTATTCGATAAGAATTATATTAAACAAGTAAAAAAGCAGTGAGTTCAGCCGGGCAGACATTTGAATACCCTCCACAATTTGAAACGAATTAGGACATTTAAAAAAAAATTAAATAAATAAAATCCGTTAAAAATTGGGGACCATACGAAGACGTGAACCTGCATAGGCAACCTTCATCGTAAGCCATTACAATATTTAAATACGAAAATTGAAAAAAAATCCGGTTAATAATGTAGCTAAAATCATCATAATACCAAAGTACCGTTATATCGGGACTATACGAAGACCTGGATCTGCATAGACAATTTTCTATCCCAAACTCTGGTACCTGTTGGGAACTTCGAATACGAAATTTCAAACAATTTCGTTGAATATTGTACCTAAAATCGCCAAAATACCGAATATAGGGAGATACTGATGTATGGGGGATATACGATATCGTGGACCTATATAGGGAATTCTCTTACAGGGGATAAGGTACTCACAAAGAACTCTTTGTGTAGAATTTCAGGCAATTCCATTGAAAATACCGAATATCGGGCGTATTTGGCATTTTAATGATTGGATTTGATGATCTGGTGTATTTCGCATGTGAGGGACTTAAAACGCCAAATCAGATGAAACATATGTATTGGAGCTATAGCTATATCTGAACCGATTATCACCAAATTTGTAGGACTTATTTCTAGAATGAATTCAGTCAGAATTGCCAAGATTCAGTTAATTTGGGCCGATATTAGACATTTGGGCTGATATTAGACATATGATATTGGACTGATATTAGACATTTGATATATGGGACCTATATCCAAATCTGAACCAATATTGACAAAATTTTAGGCCCTTATTGCTGAGCAATATCTGATATCTTGTACCAAAGATCATTGTTGTGGAGCGCATACTACGTACGTAAGGGACTTAAGACCCCAAATCGGATGAAAAATATATATGGAAGTTATAGCTATATCTGACAAAATTTGAAGTACTTTTTTCTAGGATGAATTCAGTCGGAATTGCCACAATTCACTCCGTTTGGGCTGATATTAAACATTTGGTGTACTAAAACCCTGATATTGGATAAAGATATATATGGGAGCTATTTCCACCAAATTTCATGTACTTGCTTCTAGACTAAATTTGATCGAATGTACCAAAATTCAGGACTTTCGGACTGATATTGGCTATTTGGTGCACAATTAACCCGAAATCGGTTGAAGATATATATGGGAGCTATATCTAAATTTGAATCGATTATCACCAATTTCAATAGGGTTTGTTCTTGGGCCAAGCAAAAATTGTTTGGAAAATCGGATAAACAATGCGACCTGCATTTTGTTCACAGGTACAGACGGATGGACTGACGGACTGACATGCATAAATTGAAAGTGATTATATGAAGATCCTCAAAAGTAACTATGGGTCTATCTCGATTACTTCTCCATGTTCCAAACAAATGCACAAATATATCATATCATTACCACTATGTGGTGTAGGATATAAAAATCGATTATACATTTATATTTTTATAACCTCACCAAACTATTGTACTATAGTAAACTCATAGTTCGAATTTCTAAAAACATGACCTTATCTTACTCCTTCACACCATCATTGACTGATATGCAAAATATCAAAATTCTAGTTTCACCTGTAAGCTAATTCGGTAGGCCAGCCACTCGATCACTCAAAGATTTTTTTTAAATGCATATTGTTGTTGCAAAATAGTCAGGTTTAGTCCCATTATTGTTGTTTTAATAAAAAACAACATTTGTTTATTAATGGAGAACGATGGTAATGTTTACCAGGGGGTAAGGCATGGAATACCTTGGTTTCGGAAAGAGCCACCAATCCTCATCAGTTTCCTTGTTTTTGTTTGGGATATTCTCCCCAGGAGTTTTTTTTTAAATAACTCATACGACAAACAACTTTTTTACACAAGGGACATAAAACATTACATAAAACTAAAATTCTTATGGAAAATTTTCTAAACCTTACAACCGCACTTATAAACATTTTCATCTCCCTCCACTTCGAAATTAATGCACTTTTCACTTAAATGACTGTAAATCATGAATCTGCGAAAACATACAAAATTTTTGTTTGGAATTTTCCAAGTTTTTCACTACGATTTTTCAATTTTTACGTTACGTTCGAAAAGCCATTACGGAACAATTACTTCCCAGCAAAAAAAACACAACTTTTGACGTTTTAATTTTCCGACTATTCTGCAGACTTTCTTCGAGATTTTCGTTCGGTGAACCCTTCCCATTGCAATTACAAACAACTGAAAAAAAATTGATTCAAATCAGTCCTGCCGTTCTCAAAAAATGAGTTACTGTACCATTTTTATAAATACAGGGTGGGATGAAAAAACTGCAACCAACTTCAGACTGCTGTCATTTCTAAGTCACTCGGACGACAGCTGTTAAATTTATTCCAGTGACGGCTCAGTATATTGCTAAAGAGTTGTTCGCCAAAATACCGCAGAGCAACATTCGGGCAGCGTGTGACGGTTTCATTGGCACTAAAAAATACCAAAGTGTCGATCACCTCAAGCAAGCGCTTCGCCGGGAATTGGCCAAAATACCGCAGAGCAACATTCGGGCAGCGTGTGACGGTTTCATTGGCCGATTGAAGGCCATAATTCGTGCCAAAGGTGACCAATTCGAACAAATCTAAAATTATTCTAAAATTTGATGCTATTTCCGACATTTTTTGCTTTCATTCAAAAAAATGTAAAAGTTAGGGGTTTGACTTTGTTGCAGTTTTTTTTATCTCACCCTGTAGAGGTTTGAAAAGCTAGTCGTGGTCAGTTCCTCCGCACCCAAATAAACATTTAAGGTTGAAGAGATAGCCAAAAATATCTCATATACTATTTTTCAAAGCGATATACTCATTATTTTGGCTAAAGTGGGCGTAAAAGTGGACATGGTCAATTTTTTCCTCCGTAAGCTGGGGTAAAATTTAATTAAATGAAAAATTATTTGAATTTGTCGACATTTTATTTTTATATATGTAGATTTATGGTAGAAGACCTTTGGTAGTCTTCTATTGACATAAAGGTTGCGTCAGCTAAATCTAATTAAAATATCTTCAAAATGTCTTTTGAGGATGGATATTAGGTCCTGCCATATGTTGTTTTCCGACACGCAGAGTCGACTGCTATAAATATACAATTTCTATTAATGCTTACCTTGTAAAAATGATTTACAATTTTCACTTCCCTTTATCGATTTTAGTGGTTTAAGGGTTAATTTATAATTTCATTCCAGGAATGTAATATACACCACATGCAATAAAGCAAAAATTGTCATACACTTTTTTTGCCATTAATATGTATTTATCAATTTGTTATCATTTTGAATTGTGACAAAGATATTTCGCAAATTTTAATTTAAACGAAAGCAGAAACCCAACAAAAAATTAAAAAAAAACACACGGGTTTTTACCAATTCTGTGTCATTTTCGAAAGAAAGCCAACTCTGCAACAACGTCAACGGAACCAGCACCGAACAACAGCCCGAACCGTTATCAGTTCAAATAGTACTTGTGTAGCACAGAGAAGAGACAAATATACACAAACGTACATGAACATTTAAACAGCAATCATCAAGGTAAATATACTTAAACTTAAAGATATGACCAGCAAAGTTATGGGCAAACCTAACGACAGACAGACAGACCGACGGACGGATGGACGGAGGTACACACAGACAGTTATGTCCACAATAATCACAAATGAAATGGAGTCAAACTATAAATATAGAATGTTACCCAGCAAACATTTATTAAATGAAATATGATATCTAGCCAAAGAGAGCGTTTAGGTCTGAAGACTTCATCTTCATTGAATATTTTACTTCCTTTCTATTTTCAATTTATTGTACTCACATAATTAATGGAAAGCATTGAAAACTTCAAATAATTCTAATAAACCATTGGTCCATCTTTTTATTAAACAATCAATTTGGAATTCGGGCATTTATTGAAACGAAGTTAATCAATTTTTATAAAAAATAAAACTAAAACAATTTTTTATATTTTATACATAGTGCACAATCTATGATAATTTATGTTGCTCAATATTCATTAATTCTTTTAATTGCATGGTATTATTTCCGATGTATACCGTCAATTCTTTAATAATTTTCTAAATATTATCTTTACCTCATCGTCTGCCTTTGATGGCAAACGAAAAACGTTTTGAAACGTTTTATGAAAACTACATTCATATCATAGTGCACAATCTATGATAATTTATGTTGCTCAATATTCATTAATTCTTTTAATTGCATGGTATTATTTCCGATGTATACCGTCAATTCTTTAATAATTTTCTAAATATTATCTTTACCTCATCGTCTGCCTTTGATGGCAAACGAAAAACGTTTTGAAACGTTTTATGAAAACTACATTCATACCTCATTGATGCATTATGACTGTGGCTGATTGTTGTTGTTGCTGCTGCCGCTGCTGCCGTTAAATATTGAAATCACATTACCAACAACAATATTCTGAAACAACACAAAAACAGCCCAACAAATGAAAAATAAATATTATAAATAACGCTTAGCTAGGTACATCAGCAAGCGTCATGAACTCGCTCTCCAAAGATCGTGAAACACTTGTCTATTGTCTAAACAATTTCATTTGATGATTGCACGACCGACCCTGAGGAGGAGTTTTTCCTGTCTGGTTATTTGAGCAAACAAAAAATACACTACACTACGAGAGAATACTTTCTATCGAACAGCGATGAACAATTATAATGGGTTCTGGAATGGAACAGTGGTACATAGGTGGGAGAATTATAGTTTTTATAGATACAAGACTTTTCTATATGGAAAACCATCTAATGTATACGAATAATGTTCCGCATATAAATAAGTAAAAATGGATTTAAGTTCGGCTGGGGCGAAGTTTTGATATCCCTCACCCCGAGAAAATATGAAAAATATGTTCAAGGCATTTTTCGAACGCTCGCAAACCTTAATAATTACATGTCTTGAAAACCCTCAAAATTCCGAATATCTGGTGATACCGTATTATAGCGAAACATAGACCTGTGTCAAACAAACACTTTGTAAAACGATTGTAAATTTTGCATTGAGAAGTCGAAATAGCTAATTGTGAACATTTTGCATTAATGAGAACTCCAATTGTAGCCAGTCCAGTGGGAAAATGTGGTCGTGGACAAGTTTCGACATTTTTTGTTCAAATAATTAGTTTTTAACGGGAATTGTTAGTGAAAATCAAATAACTAAATCATACCTGAAGTAGGGCGTAGCTGTTATATTGAGATATAGGACAACGGACAATGGCCATACGCATCATATAACGGTACCTCGCGATATTCGGTATTTTCAGGATTTTAACGACCTTATTCACGGGAATCGTTTCAAATTTCGCATTGGAAGATCTTAATGGGTACTGCAACCTATGGCAAAACATTTCGTATGCAGGTCCACGTCTTCGAATAGCCCCCATATAACGGTACCTCCCGATGTTCGGTATTTTTATGATTTTAGCCAAGTTATTTATCGGAATTATGTCAAATTTCGTATTTGAAGTTCGTAATGGGTACTACAGCCCATGACAAAATTTTTGTATACAGGTCCACGTCTTCGTATAGCCCCCATATAATGGTACCTCCCGATAGTCGGTATTTTCATGAATTCAGCAACATTATCCAGCGTAGTCGCTTCAAATTTCGTATTGGAAGATCTTAGTGGGAACTACAACCTATGGCAAAAAAATGTGTATGCATGTCCACGTCATCGTATAGCCCCCATATTACGGTACCTCTTGATATTCGGTATTTTCATGATTTTAGCGACATTATTTACCGGAATCGTTTCAAATTTCGTTTTGGAAGATCTTAATGGGTACTACAATCTATGGCGAAAAATTTCGTACGGTTTCAACGGTTTCAAATTGAGTGGTTGTTTTCGTTTTTTTTGACATTTTTCAATTTCGGCCCTGCCGATCTTAGCTTCCTTTTTACTTGTTATATTTTAACAGGTCTTCCAATGCATCGACGTACACAGAAATGCATTTCGAAATTAGTAAATAATTAGATTTTTTTATGTTAAGTAAGCAAAGCATATAGGGGACCACCCTCTCTCTCTGTACGTCCCTATCCCCTACACTGAATGTCTGTTTAAATTAGTAAGAGCTACCAACCGTTACCAATACGTATCCTCACACAGGAAGTAACTTCGAGGCTCTTCCAATTAAATCCAACATCGTGTCTCCTTTATTGGGCGGTTTATTGCTCAGAGTCGAACTCTAGAGAGTATGAGAAATCTTGGGCTACACTCTCCAACTCGTGGCCTCTCTGATGTGAAATTGAGGGTTCTAACAGATCTTCTACTGCAAGAATGCGTTTTACAAGTACGGGTTGCCCATATTCGACGGACCTTTGGGCCTATTCCAATCGACGAGGCTTGTCCGCAGGCAACATTCTTTGCGTCAATTGAATTTTTTACGGGAACAAATGCAAATCAATGCGAATAATCCGTTGTAAAGTGGACCGAGCCATGCCCAACTGCTGAGAACGGCGTTTCTCAACACTGGCTCGTACGGCAGCGATATTCTCGACCGATCGCCTTGGTCGACTTTTATATGGCCTCTTCGGATTAGAAGGAGCCCTACCAGTCGAAATTTTTTCGTATAAACGCTTAATGGTGTTCTTAGAAGGCGCACTTCTCACATTTTTTAATGTTTTAAAATCACGTTGAGTTTTCACAATTGACTTCTTGTAAATTTCAACTATTTCAGAGCGCTGGCGTGTATTGGTTCATGGTAAAAATCTGCTTGGACTGACGCTTCAAACGCGGTATGTCATTAAGCGATGTGACATCTCTGTCAAAAGTTATGGCGTTGCCAGATGGGTCCGTTGAATATGGGCAACCCGGTATTATAGTTTCGACTTTTATATGGCCACCTTACATAGCCTTCAAAAATGGTGTAAGGATTTGAAAAGAAACCCCCGAGCTTCCATTCTTCAAAATAAAAGGTTTGTTTGCAGCGAGTTTTCATTACCTTCCCTCTTCACCATAAAATGCAGTGTATATTAAATTTGTCATTATGTAGAAATATTCGGCGGAGAGCGCATATGGTATTTTTACTGATAAGTATAAAATTCCATTTAAAATTTAGAACAGGCAGGTTTGGACATTTTGGCCGATAGCCGATTTGCTAATAGCTAAAGTTTTCGCATAGTGTTGGCTATTAAGTCCGGCCTTCTATCTTGCATAGAAGCTTAGCACTAATATCTGGTATACTCTTTGCAAATAATTGTCTATGTAGATGTATTACGTTTTCTGTAAAAATATTTTTCATTCGGAAAATCAAATTTCAATCCATAACAAAAAACTGAATTTTCTCTTTGAATAAATGGGAAATATGTTTATTCCCTTTTAATTTTATAACAGCCCTTAATTGTTTCAACGAAAATTTTCTTATCTTTATTTTTTCATACAGATCTTCTCTTCAACTCCAAACACTGTGCCAATGAATATTATTTGTTCTTTTGCTTAGCAGTCTGCACTGTTTGCATTGCACCAAAAACAAAATTCCGAGAGCGAACACCAAACCAAGTCAGAGGTTCTCTAAAACAAACAAACAAAAATAACAGCAAGAACGACAACAACAAAAAGTGGAAATTCTTTCATTTACAATTTTGTTTTCTATCATTCACTACAGCTTCGAAAGCATTGTTATTTACCGGCTATGGACAGGGAGGAAGAAAAATCTCTCTATTTGGGTTAACCAAATTAATTAAAACGAAATCTATTTTGTTTAATCTTGCATTCAAATAAAAATTAGGTCAAATTACATTTTAAACACCAAACGGGGTCAATTTGCTTTGCCGCGCCATTCTCAAAACGTTTACGCATTCAAAGCGCAATTATTAGCAGTACCCCCCGAGTTTGTGTGGAATCGAGGAAAATATCCAACATATTTTTCGCACTTTCCATTCCACCACGAGTTACGACCGGCCGATTGTAAAACACATCTGTTAGCATTTGGTTTGAAGTTCTAAAAATATATTTTGCTTGTTTAGAATGAAGGAAGGCATCTATTTGTTAATTCATGTCGCATGCGATGTATGACTCCATTCACAATGGCTGACTGGATTTCGAGGGCTATTGAAAGGGAAAAATCTTCGTAATCCATTGTTACACATTCAGCTCTTGTTGCGAGGCTGCAGCACACACATTTCCGGAATAAAATGAAAGGAATCTATTCGGTGTCGCTGATTGGTGTGTTTAGCCGAAAAGTGACAGCTGACATCTAACATCAACATCTTTTAGCGCATGTTGGGGTATTAGGGAAACAATTTACAACTCGATTGATGAGACATGTTTTAAGGAGGCAAAATTAAATGTGTTAAAGAAAATAATCATTTGGAAATCTATGGATCTTCAGAAATGCCATTAGGGGCTAAGATGGTGGGATATAGTGGATAAAATTACAAATAAATAAAATAAGAAAATTTAGAGTGGAAGTCCAAGGCATTGGGGAAGCTGCAAACGTCAGTTTTAACATTTGGTAGGCTTCAGATAACTAGACATTAGGGTAAAGTAAGTAAAAAAATAGTATTCCTAGA